GAGGGAGAAGCAGGCTTCCCGCTGAGCAGGGAGCCCCATGCAGGGCTCGATCCCAGGACCCTGGGATCATGACCTGAGCCGAAGGCAGACGCTGAACGACTGAGCCACCCAGGCACCCCCCATAGATGGTTTTGTCATCACACACCATTCACAGTTACTGCTTGTCTCCCCGACCAGAATGAACTTCAGGAGGGGAAGGACTTTTTTTAAGTAATCTCTACACCCCAAGCAGGGCTCGAGCTCACGACGCCGAGCTCAAGAGTCACATGCTCCACCCACTGAGCCAGCCAGGCACCCCAAGAGGGGGACGGATTTTTATGTATTTGGTTCACTGATGTAACCGCAGTGTCCAGAACAATGGTGCCTGGCACACAATAGGTGTCAGTAAATATTTCTTGGATAAATAAATGAGACATTATTTTGGACTAGATGATGTTTCCAAAGCAAAGGGATACGCAGAAGGTCTTCCAATATCAGGAAATGAGACACATTTTCCTTATACTGGGATTTTTTGGTCTTTTAAAAAAAATTAGCTTTCTCTTTTTATCCCATTTGTAATTGAGAATAATTTAATATAATTGGCTTATTAAGGCTGTCTGGACAATAGGGCACAGAAGAGAAACCTGCCTTTTGGGAACGTAACAGTATGTAGGAAAATTAAGTAGGTGGAGACTGCAAACAAATATCTCGTGTTTGTGTTGCGTGATCTGTTGGCATAAACATACATATGCAGACTGTGTGAAAACTGCTTTGATGATTCGTGCTTTTGATGTTACCCCCTCCCCCCTCGTTTGCTCTGCTCTGCTCTCCCTTAGAACGTGTTTCCTCTCTCTCTGTGCGCAGAGCGCTGTACATACACCCAGGAAAAAATGGTCATTCAGGCGTGTGTGAAGTCCTGCATACCCCAAAGATTCATTTAAAATATACGGTCATGTTATAAATCTTGGCTGACAACCTAGTATTTGCCTAGCCAGAATGACCTCTGCACCATAACTGGGGGCAGAGGGTGGGGGAGAGAGGGAGAGGGAGGAAGATAGAGTGGGAGGGACAGGCTTTATAGGCCTTCGGTTTAGCGGATTGCGGCTTCTCATGAATATTCAGCCTGTTTGATGCAACTGGGGTGTGTCTGAAGCATTAAATCATGAATATGTCATAGTCACTGCACTGGCAATCTTATATTCCGGAGCAGATTTTGATGGTGTGTGTTTGAATTAATTCCTAATTCAAACGGGGCACATCAGCCCTGATTTTCCTTGGGAAAATTTTTTTGCTCCTGTTTCTTCCTGACTCACACCATTCCTTGCTCCGGGCAGTCCTCCTCCATGGCCCCCACCCACCTTTAGTCTGGGCCCCCTGGCTCTCACCCTTCCTGCAAAGTCACCGCATTTTACCTCCTTCTTTTCCTTAGGAGACAAAGACTCTCCTCAGTCAAGCCTTTCCTCTCTCCTCAGATCCTCCCTGATTCATCCTTGGTTCCCTGCTGGATTTGCCATACATCATAGAAATGAACAACATCAGTTTACCGGTAATTGGCAAGTTTTCTTTACCAAGTATCAAATTTGTGATGAGGTGATCTGGAAATAGCAACAAAGCCCAGAAAGCTACATGAGAAGTCACTGTGGAATGACAGGATACTAACACAACTTAGCAGGTACACTTCCCACGTGCTTGACACGTATCAACTCATTTACTCCTCAAACAGTCTTATACAGTAGGTACTATTATCATCACTCAATTTTATGCAGGAAGACAACGAGGATGGGGTTAAGTGCTGGAGTTGGAGATTCTAATCAAGGCATTCTGGCTCCAAAAGGCATATCAAAGACTTGCCCCCCCCACCCCCCAACTGTGGGCCAAGAGCTGAGATTCCCTGGGTGTCTGCATTGTGTTCTTATCCACCTGAATCTAGCAGCTAACCGTCCAGTTATCTCTGCCTTTGGTGGGGAATAGTCCACTGTTTGGCGTGGAAAAAGTTAAGGCAGGTCTTCATTACCAATTTCATTTCTTACCCATGGGTGTTAAAATGAAATCTGCTTCCCCAGGGCTCACCCTAGAAAATGACAGTAGAAAAAACAAAAACAAAACAGGTCCATCTGTCTGTTAGTCTAGGCTCCAGGTGTAGAGAGAGCCTGGAAATGTCAGTCCATGAGGTTCTGGAGGAAGAATGGGGGTTTTTAGTTGCAAGTGAATCTTCAGCGTGGATAATTCCGCCTGAAACCTCCATGGTGACCCCCTTGCCCCCCTTAGAGCCAGTGTAGGAGGTCCCTGCTTGATGCAGAAGGGAGATGCTAAACTTGCCAGTGTTGTTTTCTATTTGTCTTGGTTTCTATAGGGTTTGGTTAGGAAAAGTCCCTAGAGACTAGCCCCACCCATCCATCCTCGCTCCCCTCAGCCTCCAGCTCTGTCCACACACCTCTTGGATGAATAAGACCTTCTGGGTTCTCAGGGTTATTGCAACAATGCAAGATCTAAATCTGTCAAATGCAGATACTTGCTGTCCCAGAAACAACATGAGTCCGGATATAGGGTTCCAACTGAGACTGGGGCTTGAGGCCTATATTCCCTTCCTCTTCCTAGAACTCACAGGAGCCATCAGCTAGTGACAGTGGATCTTGGCCTCTCTTAGCACGTGGTGCTTGGCTTTGGCCCCCACTCCTCTCAACCCAACCATGAGTTTTCTCTTGACCCCTTTGGCTCCAATTACATTGTCTGGGGGGGGGGCCAGGAACCAGAGGAGGTCGGCATTTCCATATCTAGCCATCCCTGTCCTGGGCACACAGTAGAACATGTTCTCCATAAATCTGCACAGCTCACTGTGAAGTGCATCTTCCACTGCACTGGGATTTGGAAAAACCTGTTTCTTGGGGCCTGCTCAGCAGAATTCCCTTGCTCACACCTTCCTGGGAAAGAACCACATGCTGGTAGGGTCTATGCTGTACAAGAGGATACAGCAAAGTGGACAGATACATCCTCCTTCTTCCTGGAGTCAACGCTGGATTTGTGGCAAAGCCCCTGCGGGTGGAGGGTCCAGACCTTTGGCTTTTCACCTTTTGGATGAGTTGTGTTCATTAGCGTCCTTGCCAGAGTGGGAAACCCGGGCAGGAGGCAACACTCACGGGAGCCTGTTCTCCTAGTGACTAATGGCTCTAGGGAAGGAAGGAAAGGCTGGGGTTAATGCTTAAAATGAGGCTGAAAAAGGTACCTACAGGGTTTCTATTCTTCCCACTTTTTATCTGTTCCTATGACCAAGAGTCACCAAGGGCTGGCTCTATCCTTCACTCCTGTGAGCTGTGGGGAAGGCAAAGGTGTTGCCTCCTGCTCTGGCCGGAGCCCCTCGGAGGGGCTTGCGCAGTCTGGCTGGGGGTATCGACTCTTCTGACCCAGTGCAGCCGGCACGGAGACACCGGGACACGCAGCCACGAGCCCGGTGGAATGTGTGGAACATTCCAAGGGGAGTCGGGCCGGGGCTGAGGGGGTGGGGCGTTCTTGGCGGAACCTTGGCAGACAAATCGTCAGAGACAGAAAGAGGAGACTCTGGGCAGTGATAAAATAAACTGTTTTAATGGGAGGCTTTCGGAGAGAGTCATGCTTTCTTGTGCCGTCAAGCAGCCAGTTGTCCTGCCTTGCGGCATCTTGGTGGTGGACTGGCTGAACCCCCAGCCCGGCCGGAAGCTAGGGTATCAGTCTGCCTCCACGTGCGGCCCCTCCAGGATCCAGAGGTGTGTCTTCACAACAGGAGGCCGGCGTTAGCTGGTGGTCAGTCCCACAGACACGGTCCTGATGTGTGGGTGTGTGTCCAGGCCGGAGGGAAAGGGGGAGGAGCTTTCACTCCCGACTCAGGCTATTTCTCCATGGAGGGGGGAAGGGGGCCAATCACTTGGAAGATTCAACTCCGACCTTTACAAAGAGAACTAATAGACACTTTAGTATTATATACAGGGTGGGGGGGAGGAAGCGGAGGGGCAATTGCACTTAATTACATTAGGTTATAGTTTACACCCATTGGAGAAATTTACTTCTTCAAAAGAAATCTCAAGATCAGCTGGGATGGGGTAGGGGGCGGGAGGCTGCTCATATTTACAGTGTGTTTGGCTCAGTTCAATAGCACGTGTCCTCCTCATTTCAGTAACAGATTCAAGTTTTTCACATCAGTTTGTTCGACGAGGGAGCGCAACGTAGACACGACAGCTTTCTCTCTTCCTCCTCCGTGGTTTCTCGGCTCCCACCCATGGGCTGGACGGGAGTCCTGGACATCTTGGGAGAGACATGGCGACAATACTGCGTAGAAGGGGAGGGAAGCCGCACTCTGGGCTGTGCCTCCCAGCGGGCTGTCCTTGTCTGTCCGGGACACCAGCGGGATGTCAGGTAGGCAGGGACCTCTCTCGAAGGTGCCTGTCAGGCCACTGGCCTTTTCCGTGACAGCTGCCTGGAGGCGGACGGTGTGGCAAATAGGGTCCTTGTTGCTGTGCACAAAGTAAGTGATGGGTGGGCATCACCAGGCTTGGAGGGGGCACTGCAGAGAGAGGAGAGAGAGCTCAGCGGCGTGCATTCAGCAGGGACGAGGCCATTCATTTGGCTTCTCCAGGGGAGCCTGGACCCCACTCAGCCAGCTGCGGGCTGAGGACCCCCAGTGCCCGCTCAGTGCCCCCGCGTTGGTGCTATGCTCCCTTTAGGGAAACTCGCGAGCCAGGTTTCCCGGCCACTTCAGAAGACAGCAGTATATTGCTGCAGACCTTGAAATAGTCATAACTCGCTGACCTTTATCCTGAAGTCAAGCTCCTCTTTCTGTGAGCGTGGGGTTTACAGCGTGCTCGGTGTGGTTGCTCAACGGCAGCTGGACGGCAGCTCTTGCCTCTCGTGGAAGTAAGGGTCCTCTTCCTAACACCTCTAAGGGCAGGGGTCCCCTAGACCACTGATCCCCAAATTTTAATGGACCCATGAATACCAGAGAGCCTGTGAAAAGGTGGATTCCGATCGAGCGGGCTTGAGGTGGGGCCTAAGCACCTGCATTTCTTTTTTTTTTTTTTAAAGATTTTATTTATATATTTGACAGAGAGAGACACAATGAGAGAGGGAACGCAAGCAGGGGGAGTGGGAGAGGGAGAAGCAGGCTTCCCGCTGTGCAGGGAGCCCGATGCGGGGCTCGATCCCAGGACTCTGGGATCATGACCTGAGCCGAAGGCAGACGCTCAACGACTGAGCCACCCAGGCGCCCCAGCACCTGCATTTCTAATCAGCTCCCAGATTGGCCAGAACTGATGATCTACTTGAGCAACAGGCCATAAAGCACATGAGAAAATCGCCACTTGCTCACGGGAAGGCGTGAGGGGAATTGCAAAGTGCTTTCTACAGGCTTGTTCCTATTAAGACAAGAACTCTGGGCTGAAGGCCTCCGATGCCAGACTTCCAGGTGGGCGGCGGCGGGGGGGTGGGCAGGAGACCCCAGAATGGATGGAGAAACCCCCCGAGAGGAGCCACGGCCCACATCCTGGGGGTGGCCTCCCCTTCCAGGGCCCTGGGCCTCATTCATTTTGGCGGTCGTGGAACATCATTCCCGTCCTTTTCTCTCCAGGGAGGCCCTTTTTGCTTCCCTCTGTCTCTTCCTTCCCTTTCATTTGTTTTGGCATCTAAGGGGAAAATTCTGCCTTTTGGCTTAATGGCTCCTTCTCTAAGGATCTTCCTTCAACACTCAAGAGCTTATATGTGCATACACACACACACACACACACCTACCATTACTACTAAAGGCCTATTATTGCATTATTATCTCATCAGTGCTCCCAGCCATAATCCTGTACAAGGTTGCCATTATGCCCATTTTACAGATTAGGAAGACAAGCTCAAAGAGAGCCAATTACCCAGTTTCAGAACTAGGACAGCATAGAGACAGAGATTCAAACTGGTTCTGGGTGCCCTCGGGCACGTGTTCTTTCTAATATGCTCTGAGGTTAAGAGTCTTCTCCTAGCTTTGTGCTCTTAGTCCGGCACTCTCTCTGTGCCTCAGTTTTCTCACTTGTGAAATGGAGGTTGTTGAGGAGTCAGGCGAACTGATACATGGGAAAGGCTCAGAATTAACACTGGGGCTGCACAGGGTGCCTGGGCCTGCGAGCCCTCTTCAGAGTGTGATTGCATTCGAGGGGACAGGTTCTGACCCTTTTAAATTCTTGAGGCCCTGGTCAGGGTCCTCTGATACCCTTTGCCTCCTCTTCCTCTCGCCACCCACCCCCACTTTCGAGTCTCTTTACTTCCCACTATCAGCCTTTTTCCAATTTTCAGATTTCAGGTGAGGAGAGAGAAAATGGCTCGTGACCTTGCAGGTTTCAATAGGAGAGCAAACAAGAAGGGCAGATAAGGAGACGCCAGCGAGATTCTATGACCTGTCATTAGGGATGGGCTTCCCAGCTATCAAATGTTTGCTCACATAATAAAATGGTGGCAGAGCCCTAAATGTTGTCAGAGGTACTAGAGTTATTTGTCCCTTTCAGAGTCTAAACACAAACAGCTGATAAGGGGTGCACTGGGGTCCCTCAGAACCAAGGCCTGGCACACCCAGCCCTGCGGGGGCCCTGCCCAGAGGATCTGGAAGGGGTGGTAGTAGCTGTGGTAACAGTTAAGGACGTCCTCGCTCTAAGGGGGCTGATTACATATGGCAGGAGCTAATGTTTACTGAGGTCCTACTATGTGAGGCACTGCGCTAAGTAAGGGCTTTACATGCATCCTTGTATTGGATTCACACATCAGCCCTTTGAAGCAGGTAATTATCATTCATTCATTCAACACGTTTTTGAATGCTTTCTACAGGCTTAGGGCTTTTTTAGGCACTGGGCATATGCAGCCATGAACAAGACCCTGTCCATATCGTCACAGAGTTTATATTCTAGAGAGAGTTTTGAATAATAAATAAGTAAATGAATATACATATGTGTGTGTGTGTGTATATATATATATAGTACACGTGTATATAAAATAAAATTTCAGGTAGAGATGTATGCTCTGTAGAAAAAATACGCATGATAACAGGTTAGACTGATTTGAAGGAAAAGGGAATAATTTACAGAGGGCAATCAGGAGGGGCCTCCTTGAAGTGGTCACATTTGAGCTGAATGAGATGAGGGAGCAAGCATGCAAAGATGTGCATTATGGAGCCCACAAATGCAGAAGTCCTTAAGTGGGATCACCTCAATTATGGCTCAGCTGAAGCCGACGGGAAGAGGGAGGTGGGGAGGGAGGTGAGAAGGGCAGGGTCAGCAGGGGGCTGATCACACTGGGCGCTAGGAAGCCTTCATTTTGGCTTGGTTGCAATGGGAAGCTATTGGAGTTTTGATGGGGCAGGGGTGACATGATTGGTTTCCCCTTTTGAGAGATAATTCTGGCTGCTACGTAGTGAGCAGACCATAACCACCATTGTGGGGCAGGAGTGAGAGTGGGAGTCGGAAGTTGGGGCCACTGTAGGGAATCAGTGAGGGAAGGGGGTAGACTGGTAGGGAGGTGAGAAGCACTCAGATGTGGGATGCATTTTGCAGGATCCCTAGCAGAACTTATCCAGGGACTGGTTGTGGGATGTGCAGAGGAGAATCAAGGAGACTCTCAGGTATCTCCCCTGAACAACTGGTACCATTTTTGGAAATGGAGAAGCCCAAGGAAGAAGCAATTTGAGTAGGGAGAAACAGGGGCAAAATGAAGAGTTCCTATTTTAGCGACGCTTGTCATGCCAAAGATGCATTGGATTTATGAATGGGCATTCAAGGGAGAGGTCTGTACTGGAGACAGAACTACTGGATCCATCAGTGTGGACACTTGATCCAAAGCCATGGGAGTGGAGGAGATCATCCAGGAGTGACCACAGCAGAGAATGAGCCCCAGGGCCCTCCAACAACTAAATGTTGGGACGACAAGCTGCCAGCAATGGAAATGAGGAGTGCCACAGTGGAGAGAACCAGGAATGGGTACTGTCCTAAAATCCAAGGGAGAAAAGGAGGGAGTGATCGGCTATGTCAGAGGCAGAGATGGAAAAGTACCCACTGGTTTGACAACATGGTGGTACTAGTAAGCTGGATAGGAGAGGTTTCAGTGCAGTGTGAGGCTGTCAGGAATGGCCTCAAGACAGAACTGGAGCTGAGGAAGTAGAGACAATGAGTACAGATAACTCACCGCTCTTATTATTAAATTAGATTAATTATGGCTCTATTAATTAAAAGTAATGATGGGGCACCTGGGTGGCTCAGTTGGTTAAGCGTCTGACTCTTGATTTTGGCTCAGGTCATGATCATGAGATCATGTCATGAGATCGAGCCCCTATGTTTCGACCTGTGCTGGGTGTGGACCCTGCTTACACTTCTTTCTCTCCCTCTCCCACTGCCCCTCCCCTGCCTTTCTCGCCCTCTCAAATTAATAAATAAATGTCATGATTGTACTTCCAGTTTTACCAATGAGGGAATTGAGGCTTAGAGAGATTGTAGGTAACTTGCCCAGAGTCTCTCAAGAGAAAAGTCTGTGCTCCTCAACACAAGGAAGATGACTTCCTTCTACCTTCTGAGTGTGATGGTCACGGGAGAATAAGTGCCCTTTGCCATTTACAATCTTCCTTCCTAAGTTTGAGAGACACTCAGGGTTGCCAAGTGGGGGGAGCCCAGTTTGCCCCAGCTGCCATGGGCGGGGTGTTTTGAGCCAAGTACCGAGCTACGTATGTTACAAAACTTACTGCGTTTAGTCCTTTTAATGATCCCACGGAAGAGGAATCATCATTTTCACACTACAAGCGAGGAACCTGACGCTCAGAGAGGCTAGGACTTTTCCCTGAGGTCACACAGGTAGAAAGTGGTAAGATCTTAGGCCTGGGTTGGCCTAACTGCCCAGTCGGTGCTCCTAATCATCACACCGTCCTGCCTGACCACCAGTGGAGAAGGCTGGGACATGAGCAGCTGCCGGAGATTTCTGAGAGGCCGTCCACCTCCTTCTTAGCACCCCTGAGCAGTGACTGCTGGTGGGTGGGTGGGTGGGGGGGCCTCTCCTGACCTCTCTGTAAACTAGGAAGCGGAGCAGTGGGTTCAGAGGTTGTGGAAACAGGATTCGGTGCGCAGCCTGCCCACACTTGTTCTAACCCATGTCAGTGCCTTGCTGAGGTCTTGTTCCAGACTGCCGGGCATTGTTTTCAGGAGCTCGGGCACAGACCCACTCAGATGGTAACTCGCCAGCACCCACGGTTGAGGAGGAGGGGGAGGGAGGCACACAGAGCTGTAGGAGCTGCAGGTGAGAAAGACCCAGCCCGGAGGTTCCTGAAATGTGATCCACCCGGCCCTGGGGCAGGTCTGTCCTGACAACGAAAACACTGGGATCGGACATAAGTTCAAATCCTGGCTTGAACCTTATGCCTGCATAACCTTGGGTCATTTTTTCTGAGTGCTGAAAAAGGGACAGGAGAAGGTGAGCGTGGTAGAATGAATCTGGAGCGAGTCCAGCTCCAGATTTATCATCTGTGTGAATTTGGCCGGATCCCTCCCCACTTCTGAACCTCAGTGTTTTGCTCTGTAAGTTGGGCATTAAAAACATCTACCTTGCAGAATGGGAAGGAGGGTTAGCCGGGAAAAGTAAGAATGGCAAAGCACCTGGAGTGTTGTTATGCAAACGGGAAGCACTCAAAAATGCTAGTTCTGAATGCATTCATTCATTCATTCATTCATTCATTCATATTTACTGAACGTCTACTATAGGCCAGGCATTTGGCTAAGCACAAAGGGTTCTGGTGCTCTGAGAGGCCCCTGCATGATTTGCTTTTTTTCCTGGGAGTCCGGGAGTCCTGGGAGTCCAGGGAGGAGAGCACATGTGTGAGTCAGCATAAAAATGGGAAGCAGGTCTCCGGAGCCCAGGCCCAAGAGGGGGGATGTGCTTGAAAGATAGTCCTAATCCTGAGAAATTTTATTGACAGAACCTCCTCTGACCCCATGTAGACCAAGCAATGAGTTAAATTTTGAAGGAGTCAATAGAAGGTATCTCCCAAAGGATCACAGATGGAAAGGAGTGAGAGGGAGGGAGTTAGCACATGGAGTACCTCACCATGTCCCAGCCACTCTCTCAGGCCCTGGGAATAACCTGTGAGATGGGGGTAGGATTTTCCCCAGGAGAAATGCAGAAATGGTCCCGCAGGGTGAATTAACCGCCCAAGGTCACATGGGGCAAGGCTGCTGGCTTTTCCTAGCACTCCGTGATGCCTCTCAAGGAGTGATGTCCAGGATGCTTGGCTTGGAGCCTCTGTGCACACTAATGGCCCAATTCCACGCACACAACAGCCTACGAAAGATTCGGAGAAGCCCCCCCTTGGGGTGTTTAGCTGTTGAGCCCAGCCGTTCCCCCAACATATATGACCGAAGAATCCTCCTTTCCTCACACCATGCACCCCCGGTTCCCAGCAACAGTCTTGAAACTCATTTTGGAAAATAATACTTCAGAACAAAGAGAAAACAGAATTGCCACCAGATCTCTTTCAGAATTCATTTCTGACCCTTTGCCTGGGGAACAAAGTTGGTACAAATTTTCTCCACCTTGGATCTTTCTGTCAGGAGGCAGCACCTTTACCCTGGACTTCATTGTGCTTTCCCATTCCTCTTCTCCTTCAGTCTGGAGGAAGAAAGTTGCCTGATTGGGACACCTACGTGGGCTGAATTTTATGCTTGTTCCTGACCGCTGAGACCTCAAAAGGAGCAAACGCTGTGGGTGTTTTAGAGATGGAGATCGGAAGGCAAGTACTGTTGAAGTGGAAGGAGGGCAGGATTTAGAGTCAAAGCCCAGAGTCTGAAGGTCCAGCTCTAGAACTGACCACCTGTGAGACCTTGGGCAGGTCACTCTCCCTCTCTGAGCCTCAGTTCATTCCTTTGTACCAAGGAATACTTGGTACATTCCTTATACCAGGCAATAAAAAGAAAATGATGAGATCATGTTCACGAGAAGTAGAAACCTAAAGGGCTCCGTGAATAGTTTGATCCTAAATGTAATCATCCTTCTCATCATCCCAGAAATGAGTGTACCACGAGACTCCTGAACCGCCCAGGGACTTAGGGACAACTTCACGGTGGTTCTGGAGGGCTGTTCATGCAGCTTCAAGGTCGGCTGGCCACTCTGTCCAGCGGAGGGGAGAAGCCATTTGGGGGCCAGTGCCGTGTCTCAGAGAGCACCTCGGAGTATTTTGATTAAGAGACCATTTCCTGAATTCAGAGGGCTTGTTTCAACAAGCAAGCATCAAAGTCAACTTGGGAAAGACAGGAATAATTAATCAGAGCCCTGTCTAGGGCTGACCAAGCGGCAGATGGATTGATAAACCTTTCAAAGGGGAAGGTATTCCCAAGCAGGGCCGCTGCGCCTGGCTGCCCCCCTGATTGAGATTTGTGAGCACAGATAAATGTTTTCCCTGCTCACTACAAAGAGTGGGAAATCGCACGGGAGTCGAAGGGCAGGGCAACGGGGGGGGTGTCCTTTCATCTTCCATTGGGTGAGAGAAGAGTGGCAGAGCAGGTCCCACACACCTTTTCCTCTCCCCCCAACTCCAGAGCCCAGCTGCCTAGGCCATGTGCGTGCGTGCGTGCGTGCGTGTGTGTGTGTGTTCACGAGCGCACATGCACACACCCAAGACGTGCCAGGCACTTAATCTCCATGACCTCATCGAATCCCCAGAACAAGTCCATGTTATGACTCTCATTTTAAAGGTGAAGAAATGAGGGCTCGGAGAGGTCAAGGTCACCAAACAAGGGGCAAAACCAGGAATAGAACCCATCTGCTCTATAATATGGCAGGACCAGGAGGAGATGTGGGCAAAGGGAAGAGCAGAGAACCCAAGCCCATGAAAGAACCTGCTTGGTAGCACATGGCAGTGAAAGAGGTGTGAGTTGCAGGACTCGGATGGAAAAAAGACCATCAACAAGACCAAACCCCGCTGAGAGCCTCTGACACGAAGTTCAAGGTTGTCGCCTACTTATCTAGTAATCAATAGAGGCCAGACAGTTCCCACACTGCACAGACCCCAGCTCCTAAAAGGTCCTATTGTACTATTCTGGAAGTGTCCTGCGTGTTCAGACTCTTATCCCGTTTCCTAACTCTTTGTGTCCCGTGACAGTCCAGCTGTCCAAGCTGTAGTGACAAGCCTTGTCTTTGGTTGGCTTTACTGCTCCATCAGCTCTACCTGGAGGTGGGAACTAGCCATCCACTGAAAGAGTGACAAAGCCTCTGGATTTCCCACTTGTAGTGCACTGGGAAGTCAATTCGGAGTTTCTTGATAAAACAACAAGTAAACGCAGGCCCCTGTAAGGCCCGACTGTCTACTGGGGAATCTCTATGGGTTGGGAGAATTGGGTCATTCTCTGGAATTTACAGTGTTCTGGGTCCCACATGGGTCCTGGACGGGGGAGTCAGCCTCAGGACCCTGACTCTCTACTCTTTTTCCATTGATTGATTTGTGGAGAACCCTCAGGGATCCCTCTTGCAAAGCATGAAATGCTACAGAGGGTGTGACTTTTCCGAGTCGCCCTTGGAAACACCTTTTCCATGCACCACTGTTCAATCCACTGGGAAATACTCAGTCTCAGTACCTAAAGACTCTGTGTAATCCAGTCTCCAGTGGTTTATCAAGCCCTGGTCATTTAGTGCTTTTGTTGGGATAGCTGGGGGAGCAGTACGTCCTTTTAGCCTGTGGCCCATCTTCCTTGCCCTCTGACCTTGGGGATTCATTTAGCAAGCAACCAGGAGCCTGGGAAGGACCAGGCTCAGTCCGCAGGGCACTGTCACCCTTTCTGCACATCAATAGCCTGGGTCATTGCCCCCGCCCCCCTTCCTGCTGGCATTACCTGTTTACTGGAAGACATGTTGGTAAGCGTACTGATGCTGCTCGTATCTGTGACCACCATCGCAGATGGAAACCGGGAGGTGTGGGAATACTGGGGGGGTTCCTGCTTGTGTGTGTACACTGGAGAGACAGAGTGAAGACACGGTCAAGGTGCAGATCACACAGGCGTCAACACAGCTACAGACCCCCCATCCCACACCATAGCTCCTGCGTCCCCAGGCAGAGAAAAGCGGGGCAGCGCTGGTGATGTTTTGGAAGGCGGTGTGACACGGTAAAAAGAATGGCCATGTGTTTAAATTCTGGCTCCTCGATTAAGTTACGTAACCTCAATTTCCTCATCTGTAAAATGGGAATGATAGCTGTTGTAGGATTAGAAAACATCATGTGTAAAGTACTTTGTATCAAATAGACAAACAGCTTTGCACAGTGTCTTGTCGATAGCAATGGACAGCACTTCTGTTCTCCTGACTTTCAATTAAATGTTAGATGCCTAGGCATCAACAAATGGCCCTTACGCATACGTGGTGCATCGGATATTTTAAGTCCAAAAAAGTTCTAAGTAGCTGGCAAACACAAACAAGCTGGCCAGCACAAGCTTATCATATCTGCCATGACTCAAGAGCCAGGTCTTAGGCAGGTAATTATAAACTGATTAATAATTATAATTAGACATGGGTATAATTCATTGTGTAATTCTGGGTTGTTCCAATTTGTGCTAAAATGACGTCATAGGTCATACTATGCCATCACAGAAAGTTGAAGGATGATAGACAAGGGGAGACTAGATGCAAATAAAACCTTCAGGGACATGTGACTCATTTTCCAGTTTTTCCAGTACTTGTTCGCTAAGTCTAGAACCTTTTGACTCATGTGATTTATCCATTAGATTCATATAAATTCGACCAACTAACAGAAGCATGTGGATATTTGGCCACGAGGGAAGGAGCAGCCAATTCTATCTACCACAGCATCCCCTAGTAGGGGACGGGGTCATGGTCACTGCCTGCCACCCCAGCTTGTCCCTCCTGTGGAGGGAGGCTGGTTGTTGTCTGGTCCTGGGGCCCCCAGCTGGGGCTCAGCAGTCCACAGGTCATCACTGGGGACCACTCTCTGACAATCCCACCTGGGCCTGGCGAGGGGCAGGGACAAGTGGGGGCATATTATCGGGTCCAGAACGGAAGGAAAGTGCGTACATGTGGTCCCAGACTCTGCTACAGGTTATGGCAGATTTTTCCAGAAGCCACAAAAAAATGTGATTGGAATGTGAGATGGTGCTTAGAAACCAGCTCTGCAGGCCTGAGGTGGGGAGAGCGCCCCGAGGAGAGAAGAAGGCTGAACTTGGCTGCTTTTCCTCAGACGCACAGCTCTGTCAGGCAGCCAGGGGAGAAACAAAAATCTTCTTCCCCATTCCTGCCTCCTATTAAACAGTCCCTTAATAAATCATCACCTGCATTTCTGTAACTCTTATGTTTACCAAACACAGTTCATACCTATTCTTATTTCATCTCCATAATCACTCTACACTATTTATCTCATCTCCATAATCACTCTACATTCCATTTTATGGATGAGGAAATTGAGGCTCAGAGTGGCTAAGTAACTTTACCAATGGCTACACAGCTGGTAAGTCTCAGAGCCAGGATTTAAATCCTAGGTTTGTCTGACTCCAAGACGAACACTATTCCAGAGACTTCTCTGGTGTTCCTGTGGGACCCTGCCTGCTGTGATTTCTCTCCAAACTTGTAGGCCAGGGGCTGTATCCTGATCTGGCCAGAGGGCTGGCTGGGGGCCTGGGGCTCAGGATGGAGGGCAGAGATACAGTGGCTGGAGTGGGTGGGAACTAACTGGTTGAATGACAGGCCTTAAGAGTAGGTGGAGAAATAGGATATGAGAAATAGCCTGGGGGCGGGGGGAGTGCAGAAGCGCTACTGTTCCTTATCCAAGATGGCACGCAGGTGGTATTTTCCACCTCTGTCCGTGGTTCTCGATTAGGGATGTTTGGGGTGTGTCAACTGGACAGCATGGGGATTCTAGAAGATTCTTCAACTTCAGGGAATGCAAATTGCATGCCCACTCTTGTCGTTTGGTAACGGTTGCTTGGAATTTTAGATTGAAAGGGCTAAGTTGAGGCTCATGGGGAAAAGGCGCTATGGCCGCCTGGTGGGATTGTCCATGGGTGCCACCCCTGCACTCTATCTCCAGCCCCCCTTTGCGCGTAGGCCTCCACTGTCCTCTTCAAACCTTCCCCCAGGAGTCACGGAGGTAGAGGGTAGGTCTAGGAAAGGCAGAGACCACACAGCACAGACCACACAAGGGTTATGCTGAGAAATTGTCTGGGTTGATAACAGGTAGGCAAAAGTGACCCAATCAGTACACGTCCTAGCAAGTACAGATCCAGAGAGGGCTGCGGGCTGCTTAGGGCCCTTGGTGGCGCCCATCCCCACTCCCACCCCCCACACTCCCACCCCCCACGCCTGCGTCCTTACTGTGCGAGTTCTGCAGCTGAGTCACGGCTGCCATGAAGGGCTGCTGGGGCATGTGGCTGCCGGGGCTCTGCTGCATGAGGGGCTGCTGGTGAGGGCTGTGCAGCTGCTGGGAGAACTGGACAGGCTGCAGGGCTGCCAGGCTGCCGGCCACACTGTTGATGACGGGGACGCTCTGTGCTTGGGAGGTGTTGAGGCCTGTGGGAGCAAGAGGGAAAGATCAGAGGTGGCTGCGGGGATAGGGAGAGGTGAGTGCCCGGGAACAGTCACTGACTGAGCCCCTGCTATGTGCCAGGCACAGTGGGGCCTCGCATGAGAGATTGCATGGGAAATGGTTTTATGGATCCATTCTACAGACAAAGAAACTGAGGCTTGGAGAGATGGACTTGCTCACATTCCACAGTGAGTTGTGGTTGGAAAAGGGCTTACACAGATCCGAGGCCTGAGAACCATCCTCCCAAACTTGGCTCCCCTGAGGTTGCCAGGACCCTGGGAAGGTGGCCTCTAACGAGCCCACTCCCTCCAGACCTGACTCCAAGAGAGGCCTGCATGGGTGCCCTGAGGGCAGCTAAAGGCCCTCACTCTAAGGCACAGATTATGGCCCAGACCTGTCTGTCCAGCAGAGGGCAGGAGTGTTCAGGAACTCACATTTTGATACAAAAACAAAAAAAAAAACCCAAAAAACCCCAAACAAACAAAACACAACAACAACCTGCACCATCCCAGGAGTACAAAGACCCTCATTTAGCGAACTGGTGCAAAGACCCTGGCAGAGGTCAGATGCTTATTCTCTTGACCGTAGCAGAGAGGGGAGAAAAACACCAGACCTCAACCAGTCTCTGAAGAAGACATGTCTTATCTGGCGGCACAGGGCTTGTGGCATCAAAAGGTCCAGGTACTGGGAAGAGGAAGTCGTAAGTAAAAGGTTGGCAGTTTAGAGGGGCTCTTGCCATCTTTCTGTTCTGGAGGTGTGAGGCCTCTGGGGTCCTGTTCTGCGTCCACATCCTGAGGCCTCTTCAGAACAGGGGCCAGCGCTGCAGAGACTGGGTTCCCCCCCCAACTCCATGTGCTCCCTGGGCGGGAATCTGGGGGAGACAGCCAAGCCAGGGTGGGAGTGGGGATGAGAGGATCAGGGGCAAGACACCCCGACCTCTTTCCTGGAGCTGCCAATGTTCCTTTGACCCTGCTTTCTGTGAAACGGGGGGCAGGATGGAATGAAGAAGAAATCCAGAAAAAGGTCTCTTTCAGGCAAGCATGGAAGGGACACCCAGAGAGACTTCCCTGAAATGGAGAAGGTTCCAGAAGCAGGTTTGTGGGAAGTCCTCCGTGGAGATAGCACGAAGACCTCAGCTGTTGCTTACTCAGGGCTTTAGCTGATATGGTTATCAGAAACCTAAAAGGTGAGACCCCTGAGCAGAAGTGAAGGGAGAATAAGCCCCCTCCTGGCTCTTCTGGGGCAGGGGAATGGGGCCGGGTCCTCTGATGCCATTCAGACCAGCACTATCTCCCATTCCCCAGGGGCTCAGCTCCCCAAGCCCGAGTCTCACCTGATACCCTGATATCCCATTTCCCTCTCCCACCTTCCACTGGGGTCTCCTGGGAGGCCCCATGGACTTGCTGTTTTCCCAGGAGCCTATTACTGCTGCTCTTTTGGGAAATCTCTTCCCAGAAGAGCCAATTACCCTGTTGAGAGTGGATGACATTTGAGGGCACAGTTCTGAAACTTGCCTGGGCTTTAGAATCATCTGGGGGAGCTCTTTAAGAAATATACATTCCTCCGCCTCACCCAAGACTTAATGAGTCAGAACCTTCAGAGGTGAGGCCCAGGAATCTTATTTTCAACACAGTCTGTGATCCTGCTGTGCCTCAATTCCAGGATCGAGAGCCACTGATGTCATTCTAGCTCCCACGGAGTGTGACTCTTGGCCTTTTCACCTGTTTTCTGGGCACTGGCTACTGCCCGAGAAGCATGCTGTCCGTCCAGTGGATGAATAGGGAATGAGGGCTTGGCAGTGCCAAGTGCTTTGTTATCACATTCTGCCTGAGGCAGGACCCTCAGATTCAACGGGACAGGAGTTGGCCACACAGGAGGATGCCTGCAAGCAACTCTGTAGCCTGACACTCCACCGGCTAGGACCGCGCGTCTCGGCCAAGTTTTCTGGTGATCCTCACCATTCTTTATGCTCCCCCCACCCCACTCCAAGCACACACATGCACATGCACCATGAACACCCTTCCAAGGGCAATGTACACTCTGGTGCTGCCCACCTGCAGTAGGAGATTAAGGATATAGCAAGAAGGTGGAGAAGTATGGGAGGGAGAAATCAGGAGGAACAAAATTGAAAAAAATATGGAATAGCTTCCGGGAAAATTTTAGTTGAGAGAGTGCCTAAGAAAATATAAGAATTGTGTGTGTGTCGGCCAAAGCTTGATGTGGGAAGAAAGAAGGTTAAGTGGGATGGTTTGTGTATCTTTTTGGTTGTGGAAATGAAGAGGTGACATAGTTTACCCATGGGTCTTTTAACCAAATCTTCTAGAAGGCAAGCAAGCTGGTTTTAGGTGTCCTATCTCAATCTCAAACCCTGGTGTTAGTATGGTTACCATATTCCTGTGAAAAGGCAGTAAGTTTGAAATAATTTTTTATTTCGTGAGTCCTCTAAAAGCTTCTCTAGTCCCGTTTCTCTCTGCAAAAAAACAAAACAACTGCAGAGTACATCAATTTCCGAGCAGTTCAAGATATGCTCAGTAAAGCTGTGTGCTCTCATGGGTCTAGCCCTGTTTTGCCCTCCAAGAGCGCATAAGCCATTCTCCTCAGAAGTGATCTGAGTTGCCACCTTGGCTAGAGCTGACTTAGAGAGAAAAGAGAAAGAGGAAAAGGCAGGAACAAAATAAAGAGGTGGTCGGTGTGGGCACTCGATACAGGGAGGCCACAAGGACAAGGGGGCGATATTAGGTGGAGAGAAAGATGAGCAATGTGCCATCCTCAGATCTCTCCCGAGCCTTCTTGGGAAGTCTTCCCAGTGTCACACAGTGATGACTTGGCCTGAGCTGTCATGAGGAAGCTGAAAACACACTGAATACTCATCAACATTAGAATTCTGAGAGCAGCCTCCACAGATGCGGCCCCCGTCAGCCTTCCCGTGGCCTGAACTGGCCCATCTGTGAGGGGCTACAGGCTCGCCGTGGAACAAGAGCCTCCTAGAGCTGGAAGGACGGGGTCCATCCCCCGTCTTCAGGCATGTTTGTCCTTAAAGACTCAGAGATGCTACAACAGTTTCCCTCGGAGTTCTCACTGTACTTTCACCACTGGCCAAAGAGGTGTCCTATGACCACACCAAATTCCCTGTTTAGAAGGAAGCCCATCACTGCTCCATCTTGGCCAACACAAAGAAACATCAGCACAACTTCCTGGAACATCTACCACATCCTTAGGGGTAGAAATGAACACGAGACAAAAGTGTAAGCTATGATATTACACATACTCACGCTTTATAGATTTACAAGCATGTCTCTCTGCACTGTCATTTGATCACCTCAGCAACCCATTTTACAGATGAGGAAACTGAACCTCATTAAGGTTAATGATTTGCCCCAGGATGCTCGGCTGGTGAGCCATGACCAAGATTCGACGTGACTCCATTGTCTTCTCTTTCTTTAGGCTAAACAGTCCAAATATTGTTGAGGAGAGAGATAAGGAACTAAACATAAGTGGAATCAAATCTACAAGTGGCGGGTGAGTTTGAAGGGGGCCTTCTATAAACCTTTTTTAAAATCAGGTTGACTTACTGCCCACCCTTCTTCTCCCTGCCCCCCTAGGTTTTGTGACCAAGAACGGAGCTTACTTTGTGCAATGGCCATGACTCCAGAGAGGGGGGTCATGATGAGGTTTTGAGATTGCTGGGGATTATGGTGGGACAGGCTGTGGATATTCGTCAGGGTGCTGACAGGGGGCAAACCACCTCCGGAGACGGAGATCTGCTGGAGAGAAAAAACAAGAGCAACGTGAGTGCAACCGGGACTGCAATGAGCAGTGTCCAAAATGACATGGCTCAGCAATTCCTCTGCACAGCTAATTCACTCATCCATCCATCCATCCATCCATTCGCTCAACAATAATTATGAAGCATCCACTGAGGCGCAGGCACTGTTCTAGGTGCTGAAGATTGAGAAGCAAAATATACAACAATCCCTTCCCTTATGGTGCTTCCATCTGTTGACCGTCTTTGAGTTACCTGCCTGCCTTAGGGATTCTTCTGCTCCTGGGTATTGTGGGACTGTCCCTTGCTCAGTTTGGAAATATCCTCTGTTCTGCTCCATGCTTTCTCTCTTCCTGGTGCTAAAGACATGTGATTGCTAAAAATAATGACTGAAGTCTAACCTAGTGAGAGCAGATTAGGGACTAGGCAGAAGGGCAGGAAAGCTCTCACCGATACAGGCCCCACTAAGTACCACTCATACGTTAACCAACAAACCTCACTGTGGTTCCGTGAGGCAGACGCTTCATGGTAGATCTGTATCAGGTAGATATGGTATCAGCTAGATACATCCACCGTTTCACTGATGGAAAAACCGAGGCTCAGAGTAGATATGTATATTGCCTAAGATCCAATAACCCAGCAAGTGGTATATCTGGTATTTAAACCCAGGTCTGCCTGACTCTGGAAGTCAAATTCTTACCTTTTATAGAGGACCTTTCCCCACCCCTGCAATTATTACTAAGGGTTGGGGGGGAGATCCGCCATCATTGGGCTTCTCTACCTTTTCCCAATCTCCACTATGCATTAAAGATGTTTGTTGTTTTGGTCAAGGAGCTGATATCATAATGACAAAGATACTAAATGATAAGCCCTGGACCCCAAGGCTTGTCTTTTACAAGCATGTCTCTCTGCACTGTCATTTGATCACCTCAGCCACCCATTTTACAGATGAGGAAACTTGCACCATTATATTTTAATGGCAGATGAGTAAGAGAAAGCTACTGGTTTTAATGAGTTTATTACACACAGGGCCACTTTGCATCTTTTCATTGGGGGAATCAAATCCTTTTATTTATTCCTAATAGTGTCTTTTCCTTATTGATTTTCTTCACTTTTGCATGTGTGCACCAGCATCACAAGCACACATGCTGACAGGGTGTCTTCCCTGCTAGCACTAACATGTGCGTACGTCTCACTGCCTTGCTTAGACCTTTCGAAACAGTATTGAACAACAACAGCTGTCACAGATGTGCTTGCTTTGATTCTGATGTTTTCAGAACTGCTTCCAATGGTTCCCCATTAATTATAAGGAGCTATCAGTTTTACACATACACACACGCACGTGCTTTTTTTGGTGACAAAGTAGTTTACTATTTATAGTGTTAAAATCATTTCTAAAATTATTATTAAGAAAGCATGTCTCGGGCGCCTGGTTGGCTCAGTCAGTGGAGCATGTGACTCTTGATCTCGGGGTTGTAAGTTCGAGCCCCACATTGGGTATAGAGTTTACTTAAAAATAAAATCTTAGAAAGAAAGAGAGAGAGAGAGAGGTGGGGGAGGAAGAAGGAAGAGAGATGTCTCCTGTCATTCTGAACTACTCCAGACATTCTTGATGGTATCAGGACCACTCAGAGGTACTTTAGGATTAGGATACATACATTATGTCTGAGTAGGCCAGGTGCCTTCTTCTAGAGCTTGTCAAATGATGGGCCTCACACTAGCACCCGGGTAAGACACTATCTCCTGCCCTGACCTTCTGGTCAACCCCATAGCTTCCAAGGTTAATTTGAAAAAGAAAGAAAGAAAAAAACCAAACAGGTTTGTTTGTGTTTTTAAAATGGGCATCAAGAAATCAGTTGGGGGGTGTGTCACATGACCAAGAAGGAATTCTGACCACATCAAACAAGAGAGAACCAGCCTGTTCGCTGGACTTGTTTTTCAAAATGTCAGAGTCATTAAAAAAAAAAAAAGAAAGAAAGAAAGAAAAGAAATCAGTAACCTGCCTTCAGACTTCCTTTGGGTAATGTAGTCCCTTTGGAGAAAGTCAATGAAGTGACGGCAATCTCTGCCGTTTCAGTGCTTGATTTTCATGGTGAAAGAGAAATGCAGATGCCAACCATAAAAACAACTTCAAGGTACACGGCTTTAGAGTTTGTCAAGTGCTTCCACTGACTGTCCTCAACAGATACTGACACAAGTGGGGAGGGCGTTCTCACCACTGCCCCTACGTTACCAGTTAAGAGACTGATCCTCCCGAGAGTGGACAGACCAGCCCTATGTCACTTGACTAGTGAGTGAGGAAGCCAGAATTCACACTCGGTTTTGCTGAGAGTTCAAATCCCTTCCACCTGCTACTTTTGGGTAACCTTGGTAAAGTTCCTTCCACTCTAAAATGCAACCAGTATTTTCTACTTGCCTCCAGGACTGAAGGAAGCCAGGGGCTGCCAAGGACACCAGTCATGACTCTTACATGGTAACTCACTGCGTTTGCATTACGTGAATGGCACCATTTGCAGTACTTGCCCTTATGCTAAGTGTTTCATGCCTACAGCCTACGAGGTTGGTGTTACTATCCCCACACTGTGGGCATGGAGATGGAAGTTGAGAGAAGTTAAGAAATGTGCTCAAGAAGTAGTGTTGGTGTTCAAAGCAGGCCATCTGCCTCTAAGGCCTGAGCTCTTCCCTGTTAGGCCATACTGCTTTGATACTGTGAAAGTATCCAGTATGTGCTTTTTAATTTTTATTGTTATTATTTTTTATTAAGTAAACTCTATATGCCCAATGTGGGGTTTGAACTCATGACCCCGAGATTAAGAGCCACATGCTCTACCGACTGAGCCAGCCAGGAGCCCCAGTATGTATTTTTTTTTTTTTTTAAAGATTTTATTTATTTCCTTGAGAGCAAGCGAGCATGAGCGGAGTGGGGGGAAGAAGCGGAGGGAGAGGGGTAAGCAGACTCTGCGCTGAGCACAGAGCCCGACACGGGGCTTGATCCCACGATCCCAAGATCATGACTTGAGCCAAAACCAAGAATCGGACACTCAACCAACTGAGCCCCCCAGGGGCCCCCCAGTATGTGTAACCCTAAAGCTGGCCAGCTTTTTGTCTATGCACTCAGGTACGGGAGGGGGACAGACAGTGCAAAGGAAAGCTCACATGGATCAGCAATATTTCCAAAACTAATCCCTGGGGGAAGATTTTGAATTCACATCCTACTGAACACATCACTCCTTGCCCAGGGCTTACCCAAAGAACTGCAGCGCTACAAGTCATCCTCATACCAACCCCACGACGCAGGCATTATTCTCCCCCATTTTATAGATGAGGAAGCTGAAGTTAAGCAACATCGATCCTATTGCTGATAAACAACAGAGTCCAAGACATGGACACATGGGCTTTCTTGCCTGCATTATTTTTAACCATATTCCACTCTTGCCTTGGTAGACCACAATCTGTGATGGACCTGTTATATATTAACAGAAAACAGATTATTGCATGTGGGCAACCAGTAATAGTGACATAACATACGAGCCAAGGTGTTGGAGACTAGTAAAAAGCCGGTCCCTGCAAACAAGCTTCCAGGTGTTTGCTAACGTTGAGGTGTGCTCTCTTGGTCAATCATCAATCCAATAATATACTACCCAAGAGGGCACTGCTGAGCAGAACAGGAAGCAAAAAGTGAGTCTGCAGACTGCCTTTGGAGCAGCTGTGGCTTGGGGTGAGGCCACTTGCCTCTTAGGAGAAAGAGCAGGAGGGTCCAAACCCCAAGGACCTTCAAGCGAGAGGAGCGGAGACTTGGAGGGTTTCGTGGACTAAATCAAGACCTCTTCCATGAGACCCCCTTCTCCAGAGCAGCGCGGGCGATCCTTACCCCTAACCTATTTGGGTCTCAAAGTGACTCATAAAGACTTGCCTATGCCTCTCACAAGGTAGCCCCACAAACTGTTCTTCATGAAGAAGCAGCTTACGGGATGAGGGGAGGGCAAGGGGGCTACCAAATGCCTCCCCCAGGAGTGCCTTTTCATTTTCCTTTGCACAGACCGCTACCTCTGTTAGCAGTCTGCACAGACCACGACCCGGGCTAGCACTCCCCTTGGAAACTACACGCTGTTTTCTCCTCCAGGGAGCTGGGGACTCAATCACCTGTGACTTACCATTCCTGTGTTGCCTACACAGTGGGCACACGTCAAGGTCTGAGATGGCATCTGCTCCCTGTCCCCGTCCCCCGCTCGGGCCCCCACCTGCCTCTGGGTCAGACACCTCGAAGGAATGTGTGCAGCTCCACCTTGAGCGTCAAGCCAGGAACCTGCGGCTCCTCCCCCACTGAAACCCAGAGCAGGACCCAAAGAATCGGGTTTTCCATTTCCTACCCTTACTGGTGTTGTAATGCCTGTCTCTCTCACCGGCGGCGCTCCCCTGCCCTTGTGTGGCTAGAGAATTAGAGCCTTGAAAATTCAATGAGTCTATCCCTCACCAAGTGTGCTAAACTTACATCTGGGTGTGGGCTGTGGGTATGACCACGGAAAACGTCACTTAAAGAGAGGAACACGGATATTCTTGACCATCTGACGCTGTGCTGAGCACATCTGTTCCCCCAACAACCGTATTGTTATTACCCGCATTTTATAGTTGAGAGAAGGAGACCTAGAGTAGTTCAGTAACCCGCCCAAGGCTACACAGCTATTAAGTGCTGGAGCTGGGATCTGAACCCTGGTCCCTGGAACTTCAAAGTCGGTGTCTCTCACTCGTGGGGCAAGCATCGCCCCGCCCCACCTGCCCTTTTGTGCGGTGCTCTTCCCTGACGTGTCATCGGATGTCCCAGCTCAAGAAGCCTCTCTCCACCCCCTGCTACCCCTAAATCCTGTTTCTCTCCTTGCCGGCAGCACCAGGGGGTGGTGAAGAGAAAGAAGGGGTTTGTTTCAAAGTGAAGCCCTCTCTGAGGTGAAAAGACTGGCTTTGGAGGCCTTGGTGGTGGTGGTGGGGGGTGGGTATGAATGAACATTTTATCAACACAAATGTCATTGGCGGCCCCAAAACAAACAGTGTCCCACCCGGCTTGCTCCTTTATGAGGCATTCAATCAATAAAACGAGAGCAGAACTCTGTCAGATTTATTGGCCAGGTTCAAACCGAACACCTCTTCCACCCGCCAAAGGCTGGGTCACTGGTCCTACCTTTCCGTTCCAACTCTGGACAGCCCCCATTTTCCCCGACCGGGCTACAATGGCTCATTGTTTGAGGCAGGCCTTGTGAGAAGTTGTGTTTGTTTTGCCTCTTATCTTATCAGCTCCAGAGCTACAATGGCCCAGGTGTACTCACCATTTTACCATCAGGTGAGAGGAGACTGTGGCCAGGGTCCAGACTGGCTGGAGAGACTTGCTGTAAAACAGACTGGCTGGTTGCCATGGCACTGTTGCCATGGTGGCTGATTGTTGAGGCGGAAGTGACCTCACTGTTCCCCGGCTGGCTGTAGCGGACGCCTGCAAAACAAGACAGACCCAACAGCAGCCGTGAGGGACCCCAGGGCCTTGGAACACTGAGTCGGCTCCCCTTGTTCGCAAGGGTGGCCGCCAAGAATGTCCAGTTGGTGCCTTCTCCTCCCCTGTCCGCCCACAGGAAACGCTGGCCTAGGGGAAAGGTGGTGCGGGCTCGACTTCAAATTCCAGAACGTAAGCTCCATGAGGGCAGGGCATTTTTGTCTGTTTTGTTTTGTTCGTGGCGGTATCCCTAGTGTCTTGGCACTTGGTAACCACTCAATATGTATCTGTCAGAGGAAAGAAGGAAAGAATGAATGGAAGGAAGGAAGGAACTCCAACAAACGAGAGGATTCCCCTTGTTGCTTTAGCATAGTTCTTTCAGGCTTTAGGTGCTGAGATTGGTCTTCTCCTCCCGGCGAGGGTATTTGTTTTACTATTCGAAATGCCTTCTAGAAATCTCTCCCTGATATCTCTTGGCAATGCGGGGCTGCAAAGTATGAGTAGACCCTTTCTACAAAGAGGCACTTACCCAGGGACCCCTGTAAGAGCTATAGCGAAAGGCATCCGTCTCTGCGCACCATGGTTTTGGCTGAGCCTGAGAGGCCCTGGCGGGGGGGGGGGGGCAGGGGCACGGGCAGAGCAGGACAGAGATGGGGCTGCAGCTGGGAGTCTTTGGCTCTGGAACTCACAGTCCTCTGATGGGGTCCCATCTGGCTGACTTCCAGGGCCCAGGGGGAGGCGTGTCTGCCAGGATGTGGGGCAGGCAGCGCATACTGGCAGGATGTGGATGCCTTAGTAAACCACTGCAGTTTGGTCTGCAAGGGAGGGGAGAACCAAGCATGTTTACAGCCTCACTGCTCTGACCCTCCCTCTTGCTCAGGAACCAAAACAGAGGTCTGCGCTCGGGGAAGGGCAGAAGGAAGCTGAAGGGAAGAGCAGGGTGTGGGGGGGGAGTGGAGGGGGGCAAAGAACCAGGGCTCAGTTTGCAGGGTCAAAGTCCTGCTGGATGGGCCCATGAGACAGCCAATGACAAAGCTGGGGGTCGCTGGGACATCTCACTCTAAGTTCAAAGCTGACAAAGACCCTGTTCTCGTTTTTCACTTTGGATTCAACAAAAAGGTTTGAGGGACCCTGGGTCTACCTGCAGGGGAGGGAGACGAATGCTCTCGGCATGCAATCGTTTGGAGAGGTGGGCCAACTGTCTGCCTACAATTCTCCATTTACCAGCTTTCCCCACATTAACTCTCACTGTATCAAGGATACGGATTCTGCTGGTCTGTCTCCCCCTGCCCTGCCTCCTGCTCCCCCTGGAGCCCCACCCTCCTGAGGAGGCTGCAAAGTCCCCCCAGGAGCCTCCAAATCACTAAGCAGCCTCCAAATCGCTAAGCCGCAGCTTGCCAAGAGGATCCTCAAGCCAGTTTTCCTGGCATGGTCCGAAGGACGTTACCCAAGGCTGATATGACCTAGAGCCTCAGAGGGCTGGGAAGAAAACAAACAAATGCTAAGGCAGGGTTCTAACCTTCAAGAGCAACCTGCTTGACTCTGAGTGGCTTGATGCGTGCTCTATGGGCTTCTTCTATTGCTGGCTGTCCCCACTCTTTGATGCATGGGGCTGCCGGGGGGGGTGGCGCTGGCAGTGGGACAGCATTGGAATTTGGCGGTTACTGGTCTAGGGCACCACATTTTGGGGGGAACAGGCACCATGGAGTTAAAAGGAAGAAAGGCTTCCCTGCCTCCGAACCAGCAGCCCCTGCCCAGTCCTGCCCGTGATCCTCCGCAGCTATCTGTGGCCCTGAGGTCTCCTATTTACCCCCGTCTATCCGTCCCACTGGATCACATTAGGTTCTTTTTTTCTCCACTCACATTTGCCCCTGGGCTCCTGGAAGGATGCGTCCAACAGCTCACAGTGTTGTCATGTAGGGAAGAGAGATGTGTGCCTCGTGAGCTCAGGAGCCAGAGCAGCTCCAGCGATAAATAGTGGAGGCAGGTTTCAAATCAGTAACAGGTAACGTCTTCTGACAAGGAGGGACAGGGAGAAGACTGTGGGCTCGAGAGCTTGCCAAACTCAGGCTCGAATCCTGACTTTGCTCTTTGGAGACGTGTGATCTTGAGAAAATAACTTCTCTATCTGTGCTGTAGCTTCCTCTCATACAATGGAGGGAATGCTTCCTCAACAGGGCCATTTGGGGATAGGAGAAAGTATCTATAAATCTCCTAGCATAATGCTAAATAAATGGTAACTATAGGTGGGGAGGGAGCTGGTATGGAGATGGACCCCAAGGTACTTGCCCTAAGACTCTAGAGTTCTAGACAACTTAGGGCAGATTCTAAGTACCGAATGGAATGACCTGTCCCTAGAGAAGGGCTCCCAAAGGAGTCTACCCTGTAGAAGCCCCGATGTTTTGCTCTGGAAGCAACCTGGGAGGCAGGCCTGGCCCCTGCCCCTCTCATTCTTTCCTTTTGGAGGGACTGGACTTCACCCTGTTTTCTCCTGCTTTCTCTGACTCCCTGGCCAGCTATTTACCTCCCCAAGATGCTCTGCTCTTGAGAGAGTGGTGATAACGCTGGGAGTCAGGCGTGTGTTCACCTCCCAGCCTGTCCCCATCATCGATTCAGCCTCAAGTCAAACAGACTCTGGTTTTAGCCTATTTAATTTGGCCGAAGGAAGAGGGCCAGTCGTCTGATGATCAAATATGGGTCACGGGGAGGCTTCTCCCCTACCGCAGGCTACATAATTATTTATTTAAAAATAATTAACCAAGGATATCCGCAGGAAACAAAAGCCTTCTTTAGGAGGGAGCCTGGCAGAAGAGTGTGAAGAGCCATTTGTTAGAACCCAGGCAGTGTAGCCCAAGGCTGCTGTGGTGTTTAAACCTTGTTTGCTCCCCCCAGCAGAACTTCATTCTAGGAGAAATGTAAGGGTGGGGCTGTTCTGTTAAAAGACCGGTGGGCTTAGACCTCTGGCGAAGGGGGAGCATCGGGCTGGGAGCTTAGGGGATCCCTGGTTGATCTCAGCTCTGCCTTCAGTGTATTGGGTGAACTCTAGCTTCCTCATCTCCGAGCCAGAGGACTGCCCGCTGTGGGAGGGGGCTGTTATCACTGCCGAGTGTGGTGGGAGCGAGGCGGGGGGCTGTTCACCCAGACTCACCTGTAACCTTTCCCACCGGTGCTCCTCTCACCAGCAGTTGGGCAATCACTCTGGGCCCAGAGAAGGTGGCTGTAATCAGGCAGCCGCCTTAACGGGGGTGTGAAGGTGGAAGGTGTATCACAAGACAGTGGCTGGCAATCCACCGGGAATAGGTGTTCTTGTTAGAGGAAGGAGCGGCCAGGTCCTTGGGTATTTCACAAACCCAGGAGAGCTCTTCAAGGGAGAAGGAAAGCGGAGGAGGCTCTGGAGCCAGGCAACCCGGGTTTAAATCCTGGCTCAACCACACATTAGTTGTGTGGCCTTGGGGAGGTGACTGAACCTCCCCGAGCTTCAGCTTCTTTGCTGTTAACAATCTCTGCCCCTTAGCTCATTGGGAAGAAGATGAATGACTTAAGGGATGTGGAAGTCCCCAGAACGTGCTTGGCACATAACAGTGGCTCAAGATACCTCAGCTCCTTCTACTTTGGGACTGTCTTGGTCTAAAAGATGTTTTCAGGAAGGCTGAGTTCACACAAACTTGACTGAGCACCTCTCACGTGCTGGGTACTGTGCTAGGGAAGTGGAATGGCATCTTCCCTTCTTCCTTCACCCTTGCAAGCTCTGAACATAAATACTACCACAAGGGCTCTGGTTTACTACTGACCGGCCAAAGCTGCTGGGTTAATAGCCCCAGAGGTCCCCAGAGGAGATATGACAATGCCAGAAGGTGGCCCTGTACCTTGTACTCCCTTCCTGGCTCAAGGCCCTCATCGGCCATGTCCCCACCGCTGGTCCTAGGAACCATGGTACGTGTGTCCAGCAGCAAAAGTCATCCCAGCTAGAATCTAGAGACATCCCTGAGATCCTGGTGAGGAGCTGACCTCCTTCACCTGTTCCTAGGCCTCAGTATCATGGGTGTTGGGCTCTTTCTGAATTCCTGATGGCATGTGGGACAGAGACAACTCATCCAGTTTCTATGCAATATGACTGGTCAGAAGTATCAACACATGAACGGAGTTCATGGTTCCAAAAGCCGGCATCTCCACACTCTGCTTCCTGTGCCAACACCCTCCTCCAGGGCACTCTTCACACTGCTGCAGCTTGGGATTTCTTTCTTAAACAAACTCGCACCATGTCACTGCCCTCTTTGGAAACCTAGGACGGCCCCTCACTGCCTTCTGGAAAAGCCCCAACAGCAAAGACTAGCAGAATCGGGCCTCTGTGACTCCAGCCCCTTAGCTGCATCATCTCGCACGACATCCCATACAGCTGTGTCAGAGCACCTGCTGTCCATCATGTTGGCCCGGCCATCTCCTGCCTCTGTGCCTTTGCATCTGCTGTTCCCTCTGCCGGGAAAGCTCTTCCCTTCTTCTCCATGTCGCATCTTTTTAAGAGGGCTAAATGTCACCTCCTCTGTGAAGCTCTCCTTGATTCATCCTGGTAGTTATCTGCTTTGCCCTTTGCATTTCACATGCAGTTGAGACGCTTACAGTGGGAGTCAGTCGCCCAGCACCATAATGTTCCTATGACAGGGTACTTCTCTTTCCCTCTTAAAGGAAGGGATGGCTTTTTACTCAACGTTGCATCCTCAGAGCCTAACAGAGGGCCTGGGACTATGAACATTTCCTGAAAGAAGGAATGAGCGCTCAGCTGCTTTGAGCACGCATGCTCTAGAACAAGGGAGCATCCCTTCTGGCCGAAGGAGAAAATGCCGTCAGTCCCACGGCAATGTTGGTATTGAAAGCGTGGATCTGGTCCAATTCTATTGATACACTATGGAATAATCTGAGTGCAACGTGAATTTCCCAATAGGAATTCAGAAACCTGCACCCAGCTGAGCGGAGCCACATGGGAAAACACTAAACACATTAGTGTGTGTTCGCATGCGCGCGCGCACACACACACACACGCACACACACACACACGCACACACACACACACACCCTTCAAGCGTCTACCAGCTACCTGCAGTTTCCTGCATGTGCTATAGGCCACCTCCATCCACATCTGGAGTTAGAACCTTCCCTCCGATTTCCGACAACCCTCCACCCACCACTTCACACCAACTCACAAGCTGAGACCCTTCTGACGCCTACCTCCACACGCAAACTTCAGGGCTGCTTCAGGTAAAATGCCGTATTTATTGCTGCACTGATGCATTTCCTAACCAGTTAACGGGGGTAAAACTCTGCTCATCTTTTTATTAGAGTCTTATCTTCTTAAAGGGTGTCACTGAAGAAGTTTTGAGTAGTGTGCCCTTAACCCCATTTTTTCCCCCATAAGCCCCAGGGTTTTTATTGCATGACTTTACAGAGCATGGCGGTTTTTATGATGTAAATGTTGGCTTCTACAGAACTGACCATGCACCTGTGTTCGAGGACAGACACAACTGCCCCATAGGAGGACCCCGGAGAGGACCTGCTCAGGGTGTAATTAACCGCAAGGACTTTTCAGAAACCTGTGCTTCAGGGGCTGAGAACTTACAGCTCTCTTAGAGCTTCTCAAAACAACTGGAATTCCACAATTCCAGAAATCAACAGGCCATCAGCATCTAGATGCTTGAAACGAATTCTCTCTCTCTGTCTCTCTGCCTTCTCTGCCTTGATGATTCTGGGCCAGTCAACTGTGGGGTCTTGGCATTTTTTTCTACAAGATGGGCATATGGATCTTCCTTCCTCAGAGGCCAGAATGATGAGTGAGTAAAATAAGGTGAGAGAAGCACCAGGTTTTCCGGGGAGAGAAAAAGCTGCGCAAACAGAAGAGCAATGTCAGCCAGGGAAACATGACCAGAATCGCTCTTTTATAGGAAGCGGGGGGAGAGGGAGGTGGGGCCTCCTGGGCAACGTGAGGCTCGGCTTGCCCCCATGTGGCCTTTGGCACTGAAGCCAGGGGGCCCATTTTCCTGGGGTCTGGGAGCTGCACCCAGAATCTGGTGGGATGCCTTTCACCCTTGACATTTCAAAGCCAATCTCCCATCCCTGATAATGCAGGAATGTTCCTCCGGCTGATGGACCTCTGCCAGGGAGAACGAGCGTCCCAGCCACCAACAGAGTAAACATTACTCAACTGGCCAGAGTCTGTCACACACATTCTTCCCGTGTGTTTTTAACCTCATGCAGAGCACAGTCCAACCCTGTTGGGTCTAGAAACTGGGAACTTAAGCCCAGGCAAGAGGGAGTGTATGAAGGAGAAAAGGAAACAACCCTGTCCATCAATTATGGGTAGACAGGGCTGTCTTTCCAATGACGCCAAAATTCCGGGCCGGGGAGGGGGCCAGGAGGAATTAGGCCAGTCCTGATGGGCCCGGTCACACATCCTCAGAAATCCACTCCCCCTTTTCCCATAGAGGTGTCACTTTCTTGAGGAAAGAGGCAGAGACACAAATGATTCCATCTAGGGAACTTCTGAGACGCTCATCTGGGATGAAAGAATGCGCACGGTTCCCCGTTTGTAACTGGGAACTCCAGAAACGAAAGCTTTCCATGGTGGAGCTCGCCTTGCTGCCTCAGTGTCCTCATCGGCAACATGGGCCTCCTGCCAGTTCTTGGTCATATTTCCTCCTCTCTGGGCATCAAGATTAATGTTTGCAGAGAGTTTAGGAGATTAAAAATCTGAAAGCCTGAGAGGAAAAAGCTGATGTAAGATGAAAGCAGTTTAAACACTAGGCTGGTTTCAATTCCACATCGCCTTCTACCTGAGGTGGCTCAGTGAGGAGGCCGGTTCGTAAGAGGAGAAACACAGACAGGCCTGCGGGGACGGTAAACACTCTTGAACTCAAGGAGTAAAAGTGGAGTGATACTTAAGGGAAGCCCACAAACTGGTTTTCTTATAAAAATCAAAGCAAAGGGAGCCAAGAAAAGAAAAGAAAAAAAAAAAAAGTCGTCTTCCATCAAAAGCATCTTGGCTGAGAACAGACGCTAATGAGCACAGTGCGCCTGAGAAAATCACACATGTGGGGAGGTAGAAGGGCAACAGAGACTCGGCCTGTCCTCCCCCATGAGGCCACCCCGCCAGGTCCTCACCACAGAGCCAGTCTCTGCAAGCAAACATCAGACGATTCACAGCGAGCACTTCAGCCTGGAGGCCGTGGCTATAAGTGAAAGAGGCCAGGCCGGCCCTTGAGAGCTTGAGAAGCCCTCACCTCTGTGAGTGATCTACACACGCTGCTCTCCATGTGTCACAGATGCCCATTTGACAGAATGGAAAACTGAGGTTCGAAGAGGAAGAGGTTATTTTCACTACCTCTTGCTAAAGGGTCTCCCCCAGCAGGTCAGCGGTATTCCAAAGCTGACCCTTCTTCCTCTTCCCCGTAAGCCCCGAATCGATTCCAGGTATGCTGAGCCTTCGTTGTGAGCCACCAACAGTTTGAAATGATTTTGTTTACTTGTTGCTTGGCTTATCTCTCGCTGGAAGGAAGGAAGGTAAGCCCAATGAGGGCAGGACCTTGCCTGCCTTCTCCACTGTGTCCTCAGTGCCTCGCACAAGGGCCTGGCCCATTTATTTTTATTTTCATTTATTTATTTAAAGATTTCATTTTTATTTGAGAGAGAGAGCACAAGCAGGGGGAACAGCAGAGGGAGAGGGAGAAGCAGACTCCCCGCTGAGCAGGGAGCCCAACGCGGGACTCAGACGCTTAATGACTGAGCCACCCAGGCGCCCCGAGCCTAGCCCATGTAGGCACTCAGTACATATTGCTGGAATGAGCAGGTGATGACTGAATGACCTGCACTTTAGTTCTAACCAGGCTCCACACTGTCAGTCTGCTGAGCTGAGCGGTGGAGAAGTGGGAGCGGGATACACTTCTCCTCTTCATCTCCTGGTTTTGCTGAGGTTAGTGGGAGGCATACCTCTTAAAGAAGGGAGAAGGGGGGAGCGAGAGAGAAGGAGAAAGAGAGAGTAAAATGTGATCGAGGTAGAAATAGCACTGACACGTTTAGGCGACTTGGTGTTTGGAGGCCGGAGGTGGGTGCACGGCGGAGTAAGGGTTTCGTACGAAGCAGCAGAGATCTCGGGCAGTGCTTTACCTAGTGTAAAAAAGGGCCAACGGGGTGCCTGTGGGGAGCCTACCCCTTCCTGACTTCTTGA